ACACAGCGTTAAAGATTCAAGTTCATCTGCGTGGGTTTTCTTAGGTATATGATCAGTTTTCTTACATATATAGTATGATTATATCTAAGCTCAATATATATACACTTAACACGATCTTTGACATTTTCTATCATATAGATGATTTTTCTTTAAACGTTGTTAAAATATCTTTATCTCTTGTTTACAGCTCTCTCATACTTTATTATGTATGCACAATATATATATGAATATTTACAAGTCCAATATCAAACTTTCACTTTCATAAAAATACAGGTTTTCTAATCATTGTTCAAAAACAAGTAGTTTTCACAAACGAAATTCGTTTTTCCAAAAATTCCTTTTCAAACATGTTCATTTCATCATTTATAAACTTTCCCCAAAGTTTCACTATTTTTGGATATGAATTGATATTTGTAACGATTTCTCAAAACTGACCCAAAACCTGTCATTTTTCACATATCAGATTTCGGTCGACCGATACGGTCGACCGACGGTAGTCTGTTTTCTGAGAATTTCTTTGAGTATTTTGCTGCTCTTCTTCTCTAAGATCCAAGAAATTCAAGTTTTTTGTTTAACAAGTTATTAATCGCGTTTAAGAGCTGTTTAAGAGTTGTTTCATCAATCTGTTTTCAAGAGAAGTTTTTCTACAACAAGAAGAAGCTTTCAAATCCTATTGGAATCATTATTTCTTCAGCTCTTCTTGTTCATTGAGAAGTTTTCTAAACTCTTTCCTATATAGCTTATTATTTCACTTTCAATTTGATTAGCTATATTCATTAAGTTATTTATTGAGTTTGATTCACTATTATCACACACACTTATTGAGCTTTATATTCTCATATTATATTGTGGGTTGTGGTGTGGGATTTAGTGAGTGTGAGCTTCATTGTGTTCTCACTTGTTAATTGAGAACAAATCATTGTATTTAACTTTTATTTGTGAGAATCACTTGTAATACACTTGTACACCGAGAGAAGTGTGAGGAGAGAGAGACGGGGTCAAATCCAATAGGAGTGGCGTCGATTGACGAACCTAGGGAGAGGTTGTAATCGAGCACTTGAGGAGGAGGACACGGGCTAGATTCCTACACTTAGTGTGTAAAGTGTGATTATTGAGTGACTGTGTAGTGTGAGAGTTTTCGGTGAACTTGTAAACCGAGTGTGTAGAAGTTCCGGCTTCCAAACCGGATTGTGATAGTGGATATCTCCTCGAGGTGAGGAGCGGGGACGTAGGTCGTGGGGACCGAACCTCGTAAACATATCGTGTGTTTGTGTTTTGCTTGTCTCACATTTTATTTGTGCATATTCTTATTGTTCTTATTGTTCATATCTATCTCTTGTAAGAACATATTGATCAACATAATTTTAATTGCTACTAATTGGGATTAGATTAGCATAAGACCCTAATCACCCCCCCTCTAGGGTCTAACAGATAGTCCTCCATCTGTGACTTCCAGTAGGTGAAGTCTGATTCGTCAAACTTCCCAATCTTCGATTTGCTTCATTCTGCCATCTCTTTCACACACAAACTTTGGCGAACAAAACTTTGATACCAGTTGTTGGGGTTGAATACACAAACGACAACCCGTGCCCTTTTAGATCTTGTGTCAAAAGTAAGCAATCAAGAAATCATAGCAAATACAAAACTTGCAGGAAAGAACGAATAAAATAGGAGAACACCAAATTTAACGAGGTTCGACAAACGTGCTTACGTCCTCGAGAGCCACACAAGAAAGTTTCTTGATTATTAAAGAAGATTACAATGCTCGCAATAGGTCACACACTCTCTAAGATCTCTGATCTCAAAGTGTCGTCAAAACCCTCTCTTTTTCGTGTATTACGAACCCTAAAAATGTTTCAAGGTATATATAAAATCTAGCTCAAAACAAAATCCAACCCGAACTGGGAAAGCTCCTGACCTGACATCAGTCGACTGGTCGGTCTTCATTGGTCGACTAATGCACTTGCATCAATCGACTTGCCAGAACCTATTTTCTACAGGGTCTCGCGTGCACCTTATCAGTCGACTGGTGCAAGCCTACCAGTCGACTGACCAGAGCAGGTTTTTCTGCTCTGTTTCCTGCAGTCGAATCAGTCGACTGGTGCAACTCGATCAGTCGACTGATCGGGGGTTTTTACCAGCTGTTAATTTTGTTTCGTTGTTTGGGTCTACACTCTCGAAACCAACATCAACGTAGACAAAAAAAATTAGAACATATGAGAGAGTGTTGTCAAAATATAATAGATACAAAAAATTGTTTTGGAAGCATCCTCATTCCTTAGACAACTTCTAAATTCTTATGGAACATCATTGTTAATTGTTTCTTGAAAAGTAAAAGATGTCCGGAAAAAAACAATAACAAACTCACTGTAATGCTCAATATCTCTTTGGAGTGTATCAATTGCTATCATTCATCAAGAATTTAAAAAAAATACTTTCTTATTCATTATATTATTTCTTTGCGTAATGATTAGCCATGTTTATGCCCAGAATTAACCAAAAAGAGTAGGGCAAAATCATCCAACCCAAAGTTACGTAAAAAGCACTTAAACATACGGAGCCCTTATGGCTTTTATATATCCTCAATATCTCTTTGTAGCATATCGCTTGCTATCGATCATAAAAAAATTATATATAAATACTTTCTTATTCATTGTATTATTTCTTTTGTGTAATGATTAGCCATGTTTATGCCCAAAAATAACTAAAAAAAGTAAGGCAAAATCGTCCAAACCAAAGTTACGTAAAAACACTTAATTCTGCGGAGCCCTTAGGGCTTTTTATATATCTTAAGGATATGTAGAAACAAATAAGATAGGAGAGAAAAATATATAAATAAAGAATCATGATCTTATATTAAATATCTCTCATGCAATGAAAAATCATTCAAAATCTTATAAATTATTTCTTGTTTGTTATATTGTTTTTTTAAATTTTATTTGGGGAGGGAACTTTTCCACGATCCTTCAGAACATGGATGTGCATGGCTAATAGGCACCTCCTAAACGCACGGCCTTAAGTATTCTAGAAAATTAAATTCCTATGGGTGCTCTCTAGGAAAGTCGAACATGAGACATTGGAGTACTATTCATAGATAGTTTACCAACTCGGCTTAGACCCTCTTGGGCATATTGTTTTTGTTTTTACATCTAGCAACATTCGCCATGCTTTAAGTATCAATAAACAAACATGTGAATCATATTTTTGCATTTTCTCATGTTTTTATTAGCTAGAATGGACTAAAATCAGTTTTTCTCATTATTCACCCTTTCGCATCCTAAAATTTGCATCTTTTTAGCTTTCATACTCGCAGTTTCACCGCTATTTAATACTTTCACAATGAAAATAATTCATCCTCACTAATCCTTATTTTTATTTGGATGGAATGAGTTTGGTCTAACAAAACAAGAAGGAAGAAATATGTTTGAGGATACTTGGTTTTCATCATATGGGCATTATTGGTCTAATTACATCACACGTTACACAAGTGATAACTTTTAAGCAGAAATATAAATAACAACAAAATACAAGGTACTAAGGGGCTGTTCGTTTCGCAAAAGAGAAAGGGAAACCAGAGAATAGGAAACCTATTTCCTATTATAATTGTTTTGAGGTTGTTTGGTTGGTTTAAAAAAGAAGGAAATTATAAAATAGGAGATGGGATGAGATGAGTTGTCACCTTATTATTGGATGATGTGAGTGATTTTTTTAAAAAATTGTTTTGATGTTGTTTGGTTGGTTAAAAAAATAAGGAAATGAATTGGAGGTATATTATTGGATGATGTTTTGAGGTTGTTTGTGTTTGGTTCGTTTTTAAAAATAAAAAAATAGATGAGATGAGATGAGTTGGAGATATATTATTGGATGATGTGACACATACTTAAGGAAATCAATTTATTGTTTTTTTTAGGAAATGAATGGAAAGGAAGGTTTAATGAGATGAGATGAGTTGTCACAATATTATTGGATGATGTGTGTGATTTTTAAAAATGAGATAAGAAGAGATGTGATGAGTTGGATGATGTGACACATTTCTTTTGTTTGGTTTATTTTTAAAGGTAAGATAGGAGATGAAATGAGATGAGTTGGATGATAAAAATAATATTTTATTAGATGTTATGGGTGAGTTTTAGGGATGGAAATGGATAAAAATATTATTTTATTAATTTCCTTGTACCGATTTCCTTTTCTTTGATTTTAGGAAACCAACCAAACGGGCCCTAAAGGTAAATGATACTAGAACTTTGAAATATCGGAGCTTGAAAGGTGTGGATTTATAGGGCTCAAAAGTGCAAGTTATTAATTAAAATTTCACTCGAGGGGTTTGGAAACATTTCTTCAAGTACAAAAAAAAAAGAAAAAAAAAAGAAAAAGAAAATCCTCCTCCTCTCCCTCTCCCTCTCCCTCTCCCTCTCCCTCGCTCTCCGGCCTCCACGTCCACTCACTCTCTCATTTATCCATAAACCCTCTCAAAACCCTCAAACCCCCCTCCCTCGAGTCTCATGGCAAATTCTTCTCCTCCTCTTTAAACCACCAAAAACCCTAATCCATGGCCGTCCATCAGCTCACTCTCCCCTCCCTTCCCTCCCCACAAACCCTTCACTCCCTTCTCCCCCCCGTCCCTCCCCTTCAATTCCCCTTCCCACTCCCTCGCCCGACCCTCCCAAAACCTAACCCTAGCCTTCTACAGTGACCGAGCGAACGCCAGATCTCCGCCCCTCCCCAAAGTCGTCAGGACCTGGGTGTTCCCAACCCCTCCGATCCCGAACGACATCTCCATATCCGCACGAGCGCATCCGGCGAGAGCTCGCATAGCGGACCGGCGCCTGACGGCGCGGCGGCCGGCGAGACAGGGTCTGGACTCGAAAAGAGCCGAGAAAGTACATCAACTGTGAAAGCAAGCAAGCCAGCAGAGGTGGCTGCAAAACTCAGGGAGCGTGAGGGGAGGCGGTTCGGGACCGGTTTAACCCTATACGTCCGACCCGGGACTTGTGGTCAACAAGAAGGTTGGGAAATCGGAAGTTTTGTTTGCGATAAAGTACGACATGCCAGCTGGCCAGTCGGCGGAGCCGGTGGAGTATGTGTTTATCGAGTATGGGGATGGGATGGCGAAGTTGCCCGTGAAGCAGGCTGCGAAGATGCTGTACCGATACAATCTGTGAGTTCTTTCGGTTGTTTGATCTTCGAGAAATTTGATCTTTGAGAATGCGCTGGTGTAAATTATGTATTGAGCAGTGGCTATCGGAAATTGGATAGGAAAGTGTTTAACTGAATTACTAGTCCCATACTACTTTCGTACTACAAGATACAATCGTGTTGGGTCCTTTCTCTTGACTTGCAATCAGAATCCATATACTCCTATTCTGAAAGATGTTTAAGTTTTGTAGTATCAAAGCGGTGTGAGAATAATTGCGTAGATAGCGTTTCTAGATTAAGTAAACAATTTTAGTTAGGAAGTTGGTTGGTAAATAAGAAAGGGGGCGTGCCTCATTACAACAGAATGGAGAAAGGAAATTCGCACATAGAGTTTACGCCTGCATGATTCTTACACCCTTTAGATGAACTGTGGAACTTGTTTGATGTATTTCTAATTTCATGTGCAATCATTTGACCTTTTTTAGGTAACTTGAGAATTATCATCATATTTAATATTTCAAACTCTGTAGTTTGGAATCTTAGGATAATGAGAGCAGTTGTACCAATGCAGTTATAGATTTCTGTGGTAGGTGTGTATTAACCATTGAATTCATCTCTTGTGCAGCCCCAGTGAGAGCAAAAAGCCTCGAACTTTGAGCAAACTGAACGACACCAGTGCATGGGAGAAGAGAAGAACAAAAGGAAAGATAGCCATCCAGAAAATGGTTGTTGACTTGATGGAGCTATACCTTCATAGATTGAAACAGAAACGACCACCCTATCCAAAAAATCCAGCCATGGCTGAATTTGCTTCGCATTTTCCATACAAACCCACCCTTGATCAAAAGCAGGTGTAGTATCACTTAGAATGCCCTTTTATTTCCTACTATTCAGAATTCTATCTATCTCTCTCATTGTTGTTCTAAAATAGCATACATAATCTTACGTTTTGAGAAATTTATTCTTGTATGCTATTCTTGCATGAAAAATCTTCATTATGTAGTAGTATGTTCAAAAGCTTAGGGTAGCCCATATCCACTTACGAAGTTTATTCACCTCCAGTTTGAATGTTAGATATTGACATGAGGTAAATGTACAGCCATCTTTATCACGAAAAAGTTGAGGCAGATGCATTTTCTTCTGAGCATGATATGTAACAAGCATCTTCGTACATGAGTTATCATAGGACATTGGTGATGATAAAGGAAAGTGATGTAACATCTTATGGACTTGCTGGCACCTCTTCTAGGAATACTAATTTTGGATTTGAAGTCTTACATTTGCGGACTCTCTTTCTTTTCCTGCATAAGCTTTGAGGCTGTCTTGAAGTTGATAAAGTAGGTCACTTAAGTGTGCTTGTGCAGGAATTGTTTCTTACATATTGGCTTTTGTAGCTTGTCTAGGAATTATTTGTCATTGAGATAATGGCCAATATACATGCCTTTTAATGGCCAATATACATGCCTTTTGCTATGCCATTTGGGAATGGAATGGAATGAATGCTAGTTTTTTTTCCCTCTCTTTTGGTTGATAAGTTAAATGATGTTGTGCTATTAGTGGAGTTTATGTGTCAGTAAATTATATTCATGAGGCCTATATTATTATGATTGTGCTAATGCTAAGACTTCTTGCATATATGGAATGTGATTTTCATTTTGCTATCCAGGCTTTTATTGATGTTGAGAGGGATTTAACAGAAAGGGAGACTCCTATGGACAGGTTGATCTGTGGAGATGTTGGGTTTGGCAAGACCGAAGTTGCACTGCGTGCCATCTTTTGTGTGGTTTCTGCTGGCAAACAAGTGATGGTCCTAGCACCAACCATAGTTCTAGCTAAACAACATTCTGATGTCATCTCTGAGCGGTTTTCTCGATATCCTCATATAAAGATTGGACTCCTTAGCAGGTTTCAGGTATTTCCTACCTGGTGGAGTGCAGTTTGTTTTGTGTCTACTTTTTGTCATTATGATTTTCCTTTGAGGATTTGATTAGAAAAATGACCTGACCTTTATCTATATTACAAATTACAACAAGATATGTATTTATTATCTATTCAATACAAGGTTCAATCTTCTTGGAATTTGTATTAACCAAACAACACAGATGTCCATTTTCTTTGACTTTCAAAAAGAAAGACTGAGTTGCTTTCTAGGGGAAAACCTTTGCCATTTTCATTTTTCTTGCTGACTTTGGAAAGGATTGTGTACATTTAAGCCTTATGTTCACTTCCTTGGAACATTGATTTCACCTATCACATTTGGATAAAGCAATGAATTTCTCCATTTTACCGCTTGATTTCAGAATACAATGTATTACTACAGCATCCTTGTATTGATGAAAAGGATGCTTAAAAAATTTCAGTAGCTAAACAATTATATGAGCTCTCCAGGCCAAGTATTAAGTTGGAATTGATAAGGTTTTAACCCAGGACTTATCGAATCCTAGCACTACACTGAAAGACCAAATAAAGGGTATATTTTTTAACTGTAACAGTGTGTTGGAGGTTGGCCCTTGTTCTGGGCTCAAAGACAAATGTTAAACACTGTTAACAGAAATCAACCTTTTAAATACAAAGATGGTGGACTTGAACTGGATGAGTTTGCTACCATCTTAGAGTCCTTGCCACTACAAAAAGGTCCAAATTTATGAATGAGAGTTAAAGAGAATAATTTTCTAATCAAAGACGTAGTCTTGAAACGTATGTTAGTCACTCCAGGCTACTGAGAGAATTACGTCCATATTTAGCTTTATTGATAATTTCTTAATTTTCTTTTTTACCCTAGGGATCTTCGAATTTGACATTTCACATTCAGTTTCCTTGGTTATTTTATCTTGTTCGCTATTCTCATAATTTGAAAATTTACCTATATGGGATCCTAGTATTATGTGGAAGGCCTCACAGAAACTTGGACATGTTCCTACTTGGATGTTTATCAAGGCCATAACGCTGTTTTGCATGTGTTATATATATTTATTCTGCAATTTATACTGTTTTAGTGGTTTTGGCTTCATATTAAGATTAAACCAATGATGCAGATTGAGATGGCACCTGTCATATCATATAGAAATATTTAGCTTGTTTCATTGTCCTTAGATAACACTTTGATGATACATAATTTCTTATGAATCTATGACGCTGTCAGGTTTTTTTGGGGGGTGGGGGGTTATGCTCAAAATAAGTTTTTTTTAAACATATTATTCCTTGTTGCAGACCAAGTCTGAGAAAGAGGAATACCTTAAGATGATTAAACATGGGCAATTGGACATTATTGTCGGCACCCACGCACTTTTGGGAAATAGGGTGGTTTACAACAATCTCGGTCTGCTTGTCGTTGATGAGGAACAGGTTTTTTCCTGCTTATATTATGTATTTAAGCAGAGTAAAACTTATATAAACTGAAACTGTGTTGTCTGCTTGCATCATTTTTATTCTTCCATAAAGCTATTAATTGAAATTGCAGTAGAAAAATAATTGGTTCTTGCTACAGACCTCTAAGCATAGGCTGAAAACCTATTCTAACTTGTTACTTTCTTATATATCAAGTCTCCATTATCTTTATTTCATAGTTTACAATCTTTACATCTGTGATTCTGATCCTTTAGTCTTGCACTAGAACTCATATTTTAAAAAAAAATTAATGACCATGGTTTTGGCTAGATTGTTTAATGTGTAATGCCACAAGCTATGGTTCCCAATGAAGTCATCCAGCATAGCAGAAATGTTCTCTCCCTAGAACAGTTAACCAATGAGTTTTTACTATGGTTCCCTCAGGAAATTTTAGCTATTAACTCTGTTCATTGGAATTATTATATTTCATCCATTCTTCGCAGACAGCTAATGTGCCTTGGTTGGCAACATAGTCCAGAATTAATTGTCCTGCATCGTCACTAGACTGAGTTCAACGTACCCATGGGTATTCAATTAATTGTCTTGCATCATCACCAGACTGACTTCAACATACCTATGGTTAGTGCTTGTAGGCAAGGACTTTATAGGTCACCCATCCCACTACTCCCCAAATCAGAGAATGCTTGACTAGCAGGTTTTTGCCATGTTTCCTCCCTCAGAAAATGCTGCCTATAGTTAATATTTATGTTCCTTCCTTGGCACTACTATGTATTAGTACTCCATTGCAGACGACTGACACAAGGACTTTATAGGTATCCCATCCTAGTACTCCATTGCGGACAACTGACACACGGACTTCATAGGTATCCCATCCTAGTACTACCCAAATCAGAGAATGCTTGATTAGCAAGTTATTACCATGCTTCCTCCCTCAAAAATGCTTTCTATGGTTAATCTTTATGTTCCTTGGAACTACTAGATACCCCATCGCATACAACTGACCCAGGGCTACCCACTTCGTGATTGTGACATGAAATGAGAATTTTTTGTCCCTTCGTATGATGTTATTTTTGTTGTCTTTATTCTATATTTCTATTGCCTATAAATCATCTTTATCTATCTTATTATTTCCTTATCAATAGTGCTGAAGTCCTCAATACCAGTTTTCCTTGGTTTTTATTGCACAACTTCTCTCCATTAGTTTTAGACTTTAAGGACAGTCCTGAAACAGCTAAATCTTGCATCCCAGCTGTCTCATGAATACGGTTTTGGGGTACAATCCATGGAATGATTAATCTGTTAATTCAACTTCCACGAGAAAATGCCTTGTAAATGGTGGGAAGACAAAAATGATGGAGAATGAGGAATTTATTTTTATTCTGTTTATGGAAAAATCCAGTGTAAATTTGTCAGTTAAGTTCCTATTTGGCAGAAAAGTCTGAAGTCTAAGCTAGATCAATCCTCGTCAGTGAAACCAGGAAGCATTATCTCAATTTATAAACTAATGCGAAAGTAATAAGATCAGTATGAAACATTTGAAATTAAAATAGATTAATACTCCCTTTCCATTTTAATACAATATGCATGAATTAATAAGGAATCTAAAAGATTATGGATGGAAATACTTGCTCACTAGCTCACTAGTTAATATACTGAAACTTTTGATTTTGCAGGTAACAAAAGTACAGTAAACTTATTCTCCTTATGTCAAAAGAAGTTAATTTAAGAAGTGCGGACGAATGGAGTTTGGGAGGAAGACATTGATAGGGGGTAAATAGAATCCAAAGTTGCACGTGCAGAACTATCAAGTTATAGTATAAAAGATTGTCGAATCCCACGGGGAAGGTGTTGTAAGAATTAATCAAAATTAGTTTTCTAGATAGTGTGTGTGACAATTTAGGAGTGATAAAAGTGGTTGTGGAGAGATAAAGAAAGTGGATGTGATAATATGTAAATATAACAAAACTAGATTGAGAGGGGAGAAAGAAAGATGAAGAAAATAAAAGAAAATAAAATCAAGAAACAAATAAAGTAAAATCAAGAATAAAGAGGAAAATCAAGAAAATAAAATATGGAGGATTCAATTAGAGATATGAGGAATCTAGAATTGAATCCATTAGCTAATTTCGTTTATAGATTATAAACTATTCCCTTTTTTATCACATTTTACTTAAGATTTATTAAGCATAGACTATCAAATTACTTAAGGAAAACAAAACCTATCAAATTATCATTCAAGTAAAATTAGCATTCATGAAAAGAATAATAACTACATAGTAATTCTAGAATTCATAAGTATAACCTATCAAACTATTCAAGATGAGTATAGATTATCAAATTCTTCATCTACAAATTAATTCTCTAGTTGATTATCCTTATGCATGATCAATTTAAGCACAAAAGAATAATTCACGAATATAAAAGAAATCAAACTAACTTCATATAATTCTAGAATTCCTATTGGAATTACTTTCACATCTTAGAAAATAAAAACAAAGAAATAAAATCTATACTGGAGAGAATAAAAGGAAGAGAATGAAAATAAAATTTAATTCCCAAAAGGGTTCTAGCATCTTGGAGAATAAAAAGAAAAGAATGAATAAAAACTAATTACTAAGAGAGTTTTAACCTCTTGAAAATAATGCAAGAAAATAAAATCTAAAGTATGCAAGTATATAAATCTGTACTAAAAAAAGTAAAAGAATGAAAGTAAATCTACTCTACAAGGCATCAAAATAAATCTAAAATAAGAGGGTTCTAGCCCTTTGAATATCTTAAATAAGAAAAGAAAATATTACAAGAAAATAAAATATAAAAAGGAAAATTTACATTGTTTGAGGGTTCTAGCCTTTTGAAAGCAAGTCTTCATCTTCATCTTCATCATCAAATAAAGAGAAGGAAAGAAAAATATGAAGAGGTGAAAAAATTCTTCTATTAATTGCAACAAAGTTACAATTTTTGAAAGGTATTCTCAATTAAGAGTAACTCTCCTCTTCAAATAGAGTTTTTACAAAGTTTTTCACACTTAAACCCCTCACCCTCTACCCCTATTTATAGCCTACAGCAAGCGACAAAAACCATTGGATTTTACTTGGACTACAATGATTAAATTTTAGCCATAAAACAAGTTTGTTACGAACCAATTGGTCGGTCAATCGATTGACCAATCAGTTGACCAACCGATTGAAATTTCAAAATTCTAAAAATGTAGTTAGCTCTGTCTCGTCGAGATAGGCGATTTTCATATATTATATGTTAAATTCCGCTTTTCGGATTGAGAGATATCGCCATTTCTTTGTGGCTAATCATCTTGAACATGATTTTGACTTGATTTCTTTTCATATTGGATCCTTATTTCTTCGGCTTCTGTAGATTGCTTGGCTTGATCCCGGGCTTTAATAAAAGGTTAAAATATGAGGAAAATTTAGTTCTTTTTTAGTTTTTATTCATTAATTCGTTATTAACTTGCAAATTAAGATAAAATATATTTATTAGTGATATTTTTATTTTAACAAAATAGATAATAAGGATATAAAAATGTATTAAAAATGTGATTATCAGACATCTTGCCTTATAGTTGATGACTCAAAAGTTTACCTCATGACGTAGAGGCGCCATCAGAACAAGGTCCTTCTATAAGAGTCAACCCAATGATATCTTGGCAAATCCTTTCAAGAAACACAATACCTTAAACCCATTATATTTCATTGATTACAATAAAGTTAGAAGAATTGTGAATGAGCATTACAAAAGTTATGGAAAAAGGAAAGAATATTGATGTTATAGTAAGAGAAAAGGTTTAATGTATGGCTTGAACATGGAAGAGCAAGGGTTGCCATATGAGAAAGTAGAATGATAGGTATGGCTTTTCTTGATGAAAGTTGGACAGGGGTGTTTCGCATAATGGGGTCTAACAGGATAGGGAACACATCACAGGTTGTGATTAATTTGTGGATAGTCTACAATAGTTGGCTTTGCTGGGGCTACTGATATGTAGCATGTGACTGTTCTTTTAGCTTGTTGTACATCAAGAGCTAAACCAACTGTTAACACATCATGACATTTAATCATAACTATCTAAAGTTTACTACTTGTTCTTAGAATTCCCCTTACTGCTGAAAATTTGTTCTTCATTATGTTGTACACCTTGAATTTTGTTATTCTGTTATCTGCATGCTGTATGGAGGGTAATTAATATCTCTCTTCTAGTTTTTGATTAACAGAGGTTTGGGGTCAAGCAGAAGGAAAAGATAGCTTCATTCAAGACTTCAGTTGATGTTCTTACTCTTTCAGCAACACCTATTCCACGTACCCTTTACTTGGCATTAACTGGATTTCGTGATGCTAGGTAATGTATTGGTCAATATACTTGCAAATAAATAAATAAATATGTAAATATGTGTGTGTGTATATATGGGTAGCCTTGGTGCCAAGGAGCAGTTTTGGTCCTAGGGTGTGAGGTGACTCATTCTTATCTACTCATTTTCAAGGAGGGAAGTATTTTCAAGTGCGAACCATTCAAATGAGTATATTAGAATGAGCCACCTCACTACCAAGGACCAAACTTGTCCTTGGTACCAAGGCTGTTCATTTTGACTTGTCTACCCAAATTTTTTGCCGTTAGATGGACTTGATAAATGAAAATCACATTTAGATGAGGTGGCAACTATAATTAAGGAAGGGTAATGTGGTAAAAGAAATAAATATCTAAATAAGAAAATAGATCTTATTTTCCGTTGTCTCTTCTGTTCCCCACTCACGCCTTTCCCCCTTATGATTGGCTCCTAAAGCAAACTGAAAAAATAAAAATGCAATGGAAATGAAGATGCTGAAAATTGGAAGGTATTAAAGAGAAATCCAATTAACAAAGGCATTTGACACGAATCCATAAGATTGTCAGCAAGCTCGTAGTTAAAGAAACAAAAATTTTGACTTATCCAATAGACTGACTTCTCAAGCTTCCTTTTCCAAAAATTCCTCTATGTCGAGCTTAGCACCTGTGACAGCCTGATTTAACATGAATTTATTTGTTAATTGATTTCATTGTATCCTATGGTCATGTATTTATGCTCTATTAAACCCTGGACAAACCAATCCATCTAAATTGATTTCTTTGTCTATCTATGTTGATTTCTGTGTTATAGCTAGTTCTTATCAACTGCAAGAAGATCCAAATTATGTATGTGCTTTGTGATTTCCTTTCCGTAATGATAAACCATTAAATTATGCAATCAAGAAATTGTACCACAAAAGTAAACTATAAATTGGGTGCAAGGCTATTTTGTTTTAGAAGATTCAACTTGCACAAATCAGGTTAGAAAAGATGCTTTTTTTATTTTCTATGAATTTTCATCTTGTTGATGCTTGTCGGCAAATGATGCTTGTCGGAAAAGAGAAGCCGCTCAAAACCAATGGTAGCATTGGACAAGAGCTTAAGTATCAGAAAATTTAATTGGGTAATTGAATTATGACGGATCGGGGTGCAGAGGTGGAGATGTTTGCGTGAGCAAAGGTTGCCGAAGCCGCAACGATAGGGAAGGCCGAAAGTTTCTGTGCAGGGAAGAAGAGAGAAAAGAAATGTCCAGAAAAGAGAAGGCATTCAAAACCAATAGCAGCATTGGACAAGAGCTTAAGTATTAGAAAACTTAATTGGTAATTGAAATTATGAGGTATCGGGGTGCAGAGGTGGAGATGTTTGCGTGAGCAAAGGTTGCCAACGCCGCCATGATAGGGAAGGCTGAAGTTTTTCTCTGTAGGGAAGAAGAGAGAGAAGAAATGTCCAGAATTAATGTTAACCATTTTTGTCTCTATAAATAATTTTACAATATTACCTAAACCACTAAATGTGTGTCACCTCAGTATATCAGATTTTAACTATCAAATCAATCCAATGGTTAAAATGTTAAATGGATAACAGCCACTATCCACTTAAGTGGATAGTAGCTCATGTATGTATGTACATATGTATTTATGTGTGTCTGTAAGTGTCTGTGTGTATGTTTGTGTGTGTCTGTGTGTGTGTCTGTCAGTGTGTGTCTGTATGTGTATGTCTGTATGTGTGTATGGATGTATGTATGTATGTTTGTTTGTGTGTATGTCTGTTTGTATGTGTGTATGTGTGTGTGTCTCTGTGTTTGTTATGTATGTATGTATGTATGTATGTATATGCGCATGTGTGTATATATGTGTTGGCGCCCGCGTGTGAGTGTGTGTGTGTGTATGTGCGTGTGTGTACGTCTGTATGTATGTATGTGCACACACCCACGATCGCGCACACGCACGAATTGTTTTACCATCAGATCAACAAGTCAAACTCTTATTTACTTGATAAGTGTGATAATGGAGTTTGATGAAATATCTACTTTTGCATATGCGCTTAGGTTACACTTTTAGATCCTTATTTCCTTTTCCTTGCACAGGAGTATCATTACGCTCTCCTTCGCTAGCCATGAGAGACAGCACACTGTGGTCTGGCACATAACAGTAGTGATAAATTGTTTTACAGTAAATGATATAAGCTTTTTTATATCATTCTAGTGTCGAGCTATTTTTCCACAGGACCTCCCCTACGGTATTGTCACCGCAATAGTTTAAACACCAAGTTCAGGATGGATTGGTGTGGTTCCTCTACGGCTAGAACACTAGAATATTGAATCATGAACAAAGAAAGACACGAGAGAAAAGCATATTGGCTAGTGATTGTGAAGCCCCGAATCTTGACTGGAAGGGACACCAAAGGCCTCTGCCCTTCCCTATCTAACCAAGAGAGAGAAGGGCAGAGCTTTTGGTTTTTCATGTTGTCGGAGTTGTCAATGCTCTTTGCTAATAGGCTTGTTAGGTCTAGACCATCTAGGATGACTGTCATGTACTCTTTCCTATCGTGTTGTCAGTTATGCACATGTATTTCATTTTCGTCTCTACTCTAGAATAACTTTCATGTGTTTTTGAAATCTGTGGTTATATCCTATGCATCATGTTTGTATAGGTGTTCCTGCAATTTAGGTTATATTGTGGGCTTCAATTACTTTATCAGGTACTTGGAGTCATCTATTTCACTTGGTTTTGGTTGATTTAAAACTTTAAAGTTTAAAACTGACTTTGCTACTCCATTGTCATCTTAATTATACATTTTAGATTAAGTACTAACCGCAGATTGTGAAGCATGCTCATTTGACAACCGTTTTATTGCTTTTGTTCCGAATTTGCCTTTCCTAATATAATTTCTTGACTTGTTTAGTTGACCTTGAACTTTTTTCTGTGATGCTTTTCTCTTGCAGTTTAATTTCGACACCACCTCCAGAAAGAGTTCCTATTAAGACTCATCTATCATCATACAGTGAAAGCAAAGTCTTGTCAGCAATTCAGTTTGAATTGGATCGTGGTGGGCAAGTGTTCTATGTTCTGCCAAGAATAAAAGGTCATTTGTCTGTCATATTTTGCTGTATATTTTTGGACAAATATGTTTGGTACTTTTTTCTTTTATGACATATCCTCGGATTCTTCAGGATTTGATAAGGAACTGCTCTTTTAAATGCCTCTAAGATCATGCCTTCTCTTGTTGGAGGAAATTGGAAATATTTATAATTGTACTAAAGCAGCTAGTGGTGCATGTTCATGTATTAGGCTGGTCTATAATTCAATCCAAGCCCAATGAAACCTCTCATATCCTAGTCTAAAGTCCATAGTGTTCCCACCTTAGGACCTTAGGTTTCATTATGATTGTGAGAATACCTCTATTTATTGTAATCCTAGATTTGTTTCGGATCAAGGGAGACCTGATTTGAAATGCCTTCTGCCACATTAGTATATTGAAGAGGAAGAGGAAGGCAACAATATTTATGATTGAGAGGATTAGAGGAATGCTATATGGTCTGTTTAAGCGGTCTACATACTAGATTAGGAGGCAACCGGTATAGAAGGTGTAGAGAATAAACCTAGAGAGGAACCACTGGGTTGGGCCTTAGAGTTCCCCTTTTATGGAAAATATACGATAAAAGAAGGAAGGGAGCTGGACGAGGAAGAAGAAAGAATGAAGAAAATGTGGATTTTTTACTGGTTTTGGCATAACATACAAAGAATGAATGAGGGGTAAAAAAAGACTTAGTGTTTCTAACCATGTATCTCTAACTACACAACTAGACATTGTTTTCTCATCATTAACAACAATGAAAGGCTATCCCAAATTTTTAGGGTGGGCTACATGAACATATTCTTCTATTCATTTATGTGAATATTTATCTCCTCCATTAAAGTGGGCCACTATCATATTCTTCTTAGTTGCTTCCAGCCAAGTTTTCTTATGTCTACCTCTAGTTCTCCTTGCTCTATTAATTATAATTGTGTCACTCTCCTAATTGGTATGTTTGATAGCCTTTCTTGAACTCATTTCTTCTTATATCTCTTGATGTATATCCACAAGTCCCGTCACAACATTTTAATGTTTGCTATAACTCATTTTTTGCCATGTTGTTTCTTAACTTTAAAGCATTCATATTGTTTCTTAATCATTCAACATTCTGACCCATAAAGCGTTGTTCGTTTTAAAGATGTCATAATGATTTTTCTCTTCAATTTCATAGATATTTTCTCTTCTATTTCATAGGTATTCTATGATAACATAGGACTCCACGAACACTTCACTTTAACTATCCTATGTTCGTCCTTGTTGACAAAGTAAAATATGGAAAACTATAAACATTACAAATCCGAGAGGGAGGGAGATCCACATTGATGGTATATATTTTTTGTAGTCAATATAACCACATCTCATCTAAGCCTTAACATTGCTTGACATGTACTTTTATATGTTTCATTTTAGTCAGGTTCTTAGACATGTTTATTGGTGTTCGTCCTAATTTCTCAAGTATTCTTTAAATTGGCCTAGGACGGTTGGGTTGCTTACATTAAAAATGTTGTTAGACTAAATCTACAAGAACTGATAAATGTTTAAACCTCCAGAAAACCACACCCACAGACACACAAACACACCCAGACACACAAATACATACAGAAACATATGCGCGTGACGCACACCACAACCACTTCCACACGCACACATGGTGGCATGTGATATGAGTTGCAACCTCATTTAGCAAAATGAACTTCCACCTTACATCCATTTTCACACACAAATATAGAGTAATTAGTAACATATGATATATGATGGTATTCTTTCATATACAATGACATGACTTTAGCTCAACCAAGTGAATATTCTTTCTTTATTACTTAATGCAACCCACATCAGTTGTGTGATGCTTCCACTTACTTTAGTCCCACATCGGTGGATGAGTGAGATATTGGTTTATAAGTTAAGCCTAAGGAGTCAAGTACAACAAGTGTTTTAAATGTCGGCCGACATGTCGGATTTATGGGCTATCCGACACGATATGGAGCTTTTTAATGCATATTGCGTTTTCAGGATTCATGTCGGATATATCGGGGCATATGTCGGACGAATATGTCAGGGAACATGTTAGTTATGTCGGCTGATTTTTTAGTCTGAAAAATTAGTTGATTTTTTTTTATTTTTTGGTTATGTTTATCTAATTAGGTTTGGGTTTAAATTTTTGATTGTCTTAATATTACTTTCAAAGAAAAAAACCGATAAGTTAAGGGAAATGGAAAAAAAGACTGAAGTAGTTTTCGTTGCTCATCTTCTCTCCTTTGACATCTCATCGGTCTCTTCTCCGAGCTATTCTTTTAACATCAATATCGGGTGATCTTTTCTCTTCTTAACCGCAAATATCGGAGTCCTCTTTTCTCACCTATTTCCTTCAACATCAACCCTAAGCATCATAATTATTTTCTTTTTTATATGTTTAGACAATAGAATTTATTATGTTTAGATTTTATTTATGATATTTATATTACACATATGCACACCATTCAATATGGCAATCCGATATGACATATCCCCGATTTCTGCTACCCGACATGAATTTTAGCCATCCGACATGAACTTGACATCCGACATTTAAAACCTTAAGTGCAACTAGTGCTAACACTTTTGGCATTGGATTATGCCAAACAACGAGTTACACTCAGCCAGTCCCACGGCTTACACCACAACAATGGGCTCAAAGGTGTGGAGCATGATAAATGATATCAGAGCAGTTAGTCAGTCGGAATAGTGGAATTAAGTGCTATGTGAGACTAAATTCTATATTGCGCGAGAGCGGTGGGAGCCACCTCTAGAACTCGTATGATACTAGGACAGATTTGTTGTCATGTCGCAACAAGAAAGTTGTGTATTTAAGGGAGGGTGATTGTGTTGCCCGCTCACTCTCCTTAGTCCTACATTGGTGGGTGAGTGAAATATTAAATGAGTTATAATGCAAGCCTAAGGAGTCAAGTGCAACTAATGCTAGCACTTTTGGCGATAGATTGAGCCAAGCAACAAGTTGCACTCAGTGGGTCTCATGACTTACACTTTGCCCATAGGCTCACGGGCGGGGGCGTGATAACTTGGTTGAGATTTAGCCACATCACTATGCATGAGATTCATTTCATATGTGATATGATACCTACTATTGAAAATAGCACCCAAATAGTGCCACAAATAGCGTTAGCGCCCACTATCGGCAATGATATCGATGAAAGCGGTGGAAGATAGTTCTATGTGTGCCATTTGCTCACAATAGCGGTGTTTAGTGTGTAATAACGTTTTTCATTATGGATTCTCAATTTAATATCCGATTCAAAACCAACCCGTACCTGACCTGTAATTAACTAAAACCCCATCATCTTTGTTTCTCTCTCTCTCTTGCTTCTCCGATTCGATCTTAAAAGATGAAGGAAAAAACCTTAATCCCACGATTCCCACCTACTCCACCGCCTCTTCTCTCCCTCCACAAACTTCGTTGCCCTCAACCCTCCTCTCCCTCTCCAACTACGACACCTTAAACCCCAAAAGCCTTCTCCAACTACAACACCTTAAACCCTAAAAGCCCCTCTCTGAATGCGTCTCCTATAGCCTTCACCAACTGGAAGCTCACTAAGTCCTCTTCCTCCTTACTATGCATTTGTAGAAATTTTAGATTTTTTCTTTAAATTTTTTTAATATTTATACATATTTAAATTGGATCACTATTTGACTTTATGTTTTTTACCACAATAGTCCTAAATAGTCTTAGCGGTCATGCTATCCGCTATCAATAATCTTGATAATGTCCAATATTCTCTCTCATACACACTAGAAGAGAAGTTGATTCACTGTTTGAAAAAACAAAACAAAACAGGATCTTAGTGGGATTGACCAACTAGCACGATTAGGTTGGATGAATCATATGCTCAAAATTGATGAGTCATATATTGCTGCATTAGAGGGTCAAATTGGGTGTTCAAGGATTCTCGTCAAACTCTCAAATGTGTTAAATTCAACAAGACTATTTTTTGGGTTTATTCTACTTGGTTGGCATACGAACACATACACATATGGGTAATGAGTATGAGCTAGCAACTTAGTAAGCAAAATGAGCTACCAAGAGACAAAAATAGTGAGGCCAAACCTCTAGTAGAGTGGACCTCACCATATAGCACTTTGGAAGCTCATTTAGTAAAATTAGCTGCTGCCAAGGTTTTAAACGTCGGATGTCGGGTTTATGTTGGATAGTTAAGATTCATGTCGGATAGCGAAAATCGGGGATATGAAAAAAATATTGGATTATCATATCGGATAGTGTGCATGTGTAATATAAATATCATAAATAAAATTTAAATATACTTGTAAATTCTTTTGTCTAAACATATAAAAAAGTAAATAACTTATGATGCTTAGGGTTGATGTTGAAGGAAAGAGGTGAGAAAAGAGGACTCCGATATTGACAGTTAAGAGAGAAGATTATCCGATATTAATGTGGAAGGAACAGCTCGGAGAAGAGACCGATGAGATGCCAAAGAAGAGAAGAGAAGCGATGGAAGTGACTTCTGTCTTTTTTTTCCATTTGCCCTAATTGATCGAGTTTTGTCTTTGAAAACAATATCAAGACAATCAAGAATTTAAACCGAAATCTAATTAGATAAATATAATCAAAAAAATAAAAAAATCAGTCAATTTTTTAAACTGAAAAATTAGCCGACATAGCCGACATGTCCCTCGATATATTTGCCCAATATGTTCCCCGATATATCTGACATGAATCTTGAAAACGCAATACGTATTGAAAAGCGTCATATCATGTCGGCTGACCCCTAAATCCGACATGTCGGTTGACATTTAAAACACTGACTGCTGCCTCATATCTTTTCTTCATATAACACACATCACAACACAACCACACACACACACACACACAATATAATATCACTTAATATATGTATATATATACTATATATCATAACATGGCATGTGACACACACACACACATACTTACTACCTATCTTTATATATCATATTGTTAATATTAGTAATACCTTAGATAGTATATATATATAAATGTATATTACGTCATATGAGAGGATTTTATCGTACATTCATACACGTTGTCTAAATGAGCTACCGAATTACCTATCTGATGAGGCTCACCTGCTAGTCACATCGGAAGGTGTGAGCCTTATCAATTCTATCTGATAGTAGTTCATTTTGCTAAATGAACCGCCAACTCACAACTATCAGACCTTATATATAGGTGTGTGTATGAGGATACTGGTTATGAGATGCCAACTTTATATCAAAATGAGCTTCCAAGAGGCATGATTTGTGAGATTCATCTGATCCAATGAGACTAGCATAATGGGTCTCATGAGCAATCTATTTCTTGATAGCTTATTTAGCAAAATGAACTGTCACCTTATACCCATTTTTCACACACACATGAAGTAAAGCTTGAATAAACTTTACTTGATTGAGGGCTTCATCCACCAATTTTTTTATTCATAGGATTTGCTACTTTGAAATTTGTATTAGTATGTGATACACATCAAGATATGCATCTCATAGGTAGCCTTTATGTATATCACACACCAAGACGAATCTTAAAATTTTAGTGAGCAAAAATATCGGTGGATAGTGTTCAATTTAACTTAAGTTTATTCTAGATTTACTCTCTCTTATATATGAAGGATATGAGTATGCTTGGTACCAAATACAGAGTTTGGAACTTGGTAGAGATGTGGTCAATTCTTATGCACTCATTCAATTGATGAGTAATCATGTGAGGACCAATTTCAAGTGGATAACTTTAAATGTGTGGACGATAAATTGTTACACCACTACCAAACACTAATTTACAAGAGATGTACTGGTGCGGTCACGCCTTTTCATGTGATAAGGAAAGTGGGTCTACCACATGGCTATCTATTGATGGCTCATTTAGCAAAATGAGCTACCATCTCATACCCATTATTTCCACATATTAGTAAAGCTAGAGTCAACTTAGGTTGACAGGAGCTCTTGTCCACCAATTTTTTTGTAACTTGATCTTACTTTGGGATTCATGCTACACATCAAGGCTATCTTTGAGATGTGTGTCTTGATGTATATCACATGCTAATACAAATCTCAAAGCAAAATCAATAGATAAAATAGTTGGTAGACAAAGGGCTCTTGTCAACTTAAGTATACGAAAACTTTGCTCTCTCTACAAATACACCAAATAGTTTTGAGGAATTTTCAAAGTTTCAAAAATTTAGAAAACTACAAATGTAATACTCTAATGTGATCAGTTGATCCTGAGAATTTTCTGTTCTAAATATGACTAGTACAAGTTCCCTTATGTTGGGTGTATCAGTATATGGAGTAATTGGAGAACCGGACGTTGATGAAGGTTGTATAATTGATCAATCTCCAACTATGTTGCATGGGTATAGATACGAGTAGAAGTACCGATATGGGTACAAGACACTGTAAATTTTGTAAAAGGCAGGATACATGGACACGACTGTATAAATATTTATATGCATATATATATTATATATTGGAATTAATAATTTATATGAGAACAAGGTTGAGAATTAAAATTCCTATTACATTTTTATGTTTCTTTTAGTATGTGGATTATAAATTGGAAACTCACTAGTTTTTGAACTAAGCATCCAAGCGACCCTTCAAAATCACAATTCAGAACTTGACCTGTGCCTAACGAGTTTCAAGAAATGGATGTGAGTGTAGGATATATGTCCAAAAAATGTGTGACAAATGTTTTAGCTTAAAACATGTATTGTATAATTGACTACATGCCTGAATAGATGTATGCATATATGCAAGGAGTGTCCTTAGAGTTTGTGTATGGGTACCAGTACGTGTTGGGTGTGGGTACAGCTTCAGATTAGAAGTACAACATGGGTCTCCAGCTGTCTGATATTAGTATTTGCTGTGTATTGTGAGTTTTAAAAAATACATTATTGGTTTCAGTTATTCTGACTAGTTCCCTAATTCTTTGATTGACAGGATTGGAAGAAGTCATGGAGTTTCTTGAACAATCCTTTCCAGACGCTCCAGTTGCGATTGCTCATGGAAAGGTGGTTCGAACATTCAATCTCTTCTCAATTTAGTGGCCATTACAAATCTGTATTATTTAGTGGTGCTTCCCCAGATTACTTGTTTACTGTTGTTTAATCATATTTTCTACCTTCAGTTATTAGAACTTCTCATATGATCTAGATAATCACTTTAACCAAAACCTCAATCCCCTTTGTTCTTGGCCAAATGTACATGTGAAGCATCTCCTTGTAGCTCTTTGGTAAAAGATGAGATGCATGAAAATAAATAATAAGTATGGATAAATGTAATTTACTTCCTTCGCAGTATGGAGACGGTTAAGCATCAATGATGAGATGAAACTCTTATCATGTTAGGGAATGCTTTGAAGCTCAGGTCATGGATTCTGGATTTAACCCCTCTATTTCTTCTGTTTTCTACTAATCTTGTATTTTCACACTATTGACACGGATAGTTTTCACACCGTTCTCATATTTGAATAATTCTTCACTTTTGCACTCAAACTTCAACTAATTCCTAAAGTTTCCTTCAAGAATGTTGTTTTTTCACCTTGGCCTTGCATGTACTATTACAATTTCAGAGGATATACACTGAATTCAATAAAGCTAGTGTAACAAAAGACTATGCTAAAGCTGTCGATGATTACTGACCTTTTATTACTTACATTTTCAATGCAGTTTAATTGGGGTAAGGAGGTGCTAAAAGATGCACTGTGATTTGTAGAGACTAAAGCCTCAATTTTCTTATTGTAGTGCTTCATCTGTTATGACATTCTCAATTATTTTTTATAATTGAAGTACACAATTCTGAATACAATGCCAAACTCTTATTGTGGACATTTTCCAGTTTCTAATGGCTTTTCTCTGAAACTTTGACAGCAACACTCAAAGCAGCTGGAAGACACCATGGAAAAGTTTGCTGCAGGAGATATTAAAATTCTCATCTGTACAAATATAGTGGAGAGTGGACTGGATATTCAGAATGCCAACACCATAATAATTCAGGACGTTCAGCAGTTTGGGCTGGCCCAACTATATCAGGTGAGAGTTTTTTTCTCACTGTTTCTGGTCAAACCTGCTTATGTTTCCTGAGATTTATAGTGACAACTGACAAATTCTACATGAGCAAGACTAATTGGTAGTGTTAATTTTCTGGGTTTTCTTTTGATTTAAAGAATTTTAGAAAACTTTCCAGGTTTTATTGAATACTACCTATGATATATGAAGGGAGTATAAGTAGGGGTGATGGAAGTGGGTATGGATATGTCAGCCCAATATGATAATAAGATTAAGCTTATCAAACTCGGAATGAGCTAAATTTTAAGCTAATAATTAAACAAGCCTTGCTTATCTGTCTGCATGTAATTAAGATTAAAACCTTCTGACCTTTTTTATTGCTGAAGTCGCTGCAACTGCAGCAGAACTCATAAATTAGGGTGAGGGTTGTGGTGGGGTTGGGAGCCATAACTTATAGACTCTAGAAGCATGCCGTAACTAATTAAATAACTTACAGATTCTTGAGGCGTGCCGTAACTAATTAAACAAGCCTTGGTTATCAACTTATTTTCTAGACTCTAGCGGAGTTTGAACATGCATGTTTCAGCTTTGAGCTGAGTTCAAGCTGCCCTAAGGATGAACAGCCATTCTTGAAGCAAGTTGTAATCATCATACTAGGCCCCATTGTATCCTTTTGTCCAACTAGTCTTGCATTATTTTACCAATCTTTCCATTTTTATTCATTTAAGAAATGATAGTAGCTGTTGCACGGTAGTTTGTTATCCAATTCTTTTGTATATTGACGATATATTATATTCCATCTAACACATTGAGGTCAATTTTGGAGTTCTTTTCTTTCAAATGAATGAGATGCATTCTGTTCCATTTTTAAAATATTTTTTAAAGTTAAACTATACATATGAAAACGAACAAGTTTTAAATGCATCTATGTTATAATTCTACTTTGGTGATGAAGGACAATAACTAGCTCGCACTTCCTATTTCGTATATTATAATGAACCACCGACCATGTAATATGGTTGGCATTTTGGTTGTTGCAAGTTAACCAACTTAATTTATTGAATTATGAATATCTAATGTGTTCTTTCTTATAGTCTGTTTACAAAGTAAGATTTTCCCAAAGTTTGCTTTGTGTAGAGTTCACACTGTTTGCGAGATGGTCTATCTTATATTTATGATACTGGCCTTCCACTCTCTTGAGGAGTTCAGGGAATGGTATCAATACAATTGACTTCTTTAAGCCATTTGATTATGTCTGTTGAAGTGTCATTCCATTAGAGCTATATTTGTCTTTTGCACATATGACAATCTTGCATTATATCCTTTGTTGATGGAGGTGCAGTCTTCTCTTGTCCTTAGATTCTCTTCCTACGCAATATCTGATATCAGGTTGACTAGTTGTAAGAATTTTGTGAAGTTTTCATGGATACTAACTGATTTAACATGTGGTATTATGCTCGATAACCAACTTCATGATTTTTAATGAGATATACATGATTATGATGGTTCTTAAAAACATTCAGGTTCAGAGATGATCCAGTACTTTACTGAAAACATCACGATTTCTTAAGAGAATTTGAACCCATCAAGGACTGTCAATGCCATGGAATGTTTACCATGTTGGGCCCTTAAAAATTACTTAATTATAATGACTACTCATGTGCTATTTTACATGAAAATTTTGTCTTCTGCTTCCATTCTAATTATTCTTTAAACCCTGGTGACCAAATATTGCGTTTAACAGCTACGAGGAAGAGTGGGTCGTGCTGACAAAGAAGCTTATGCATATTTGTTTTACCCCGACAAGTCGTTGCTTTCTGATCAAGCATTGGTGAGTTGTACCGTCCCTCAGTTGATTCCATTCTCTGGTAGTACCATTTTTATTCTGAGTAGAAATCCATACTGACTGTATATTTAGCTGCAGTCACAAAAGTTGTTATTTTCCTAATTTGAAAATATTCAGGAACATGAGATAGTTATGAAAAAATATGCATTTGTCACAGTTCTGTTAGTTTGTGATGTTCATAGGTCTTGTGAACGTTTCAAAATTGTATATGTTTTAAAAGAATCTATCTGCAATTTTGAAATGCTTCCTTATTTCCAAGTCCCAGCCACATAGACAAATGACTGCTTGCATTGAAGCAAGTTTATATTAAATGAAGAGAAAACCCTATGCGATTGTTACCTACTATAAATTTTCCCTCGACATTTTAGAAGACTTCCCATTTCCCTCATGTTTTTTTACACTAACAGGACTTTTCCCAGGCGTCGAACTTATGACTGTACATTGGTTTCTTCCAGACATGCAGAAGTTCAGAATCTCATTCTACACCTCTTAGTTATTTTTGTGGGCTTTGTATTTAAGATCACTCTTAACATTCTGGAATCTCATTCTACCTCTTAGTTATTTTCATGGGCTTTGTATTTAAAATCACTCTTTAACATTCTGGAACCTAAATCAAATAGTTCCTTCTGCTAGTTAATTATCCTGGTTATTCCTGTTGGCGTTAGGAGAGACTTGCAGCTATTGAGGAGTATCAGGATCTTGGTCAAGGATTCCAACTTGCAGAAAGAGACATGGGAATAAGAGGATTTGGAAATATTTTTGGTGAGCAACAGACAGGGGATATCGGCAATGTTGGAATTGATCTCTTCTTTGAGATGCTTTTCGAAAGCTTGTCGAAGGTATTTTCTTGTTTGATGTATCGTCATGTTTTCTTCTTCTTATGAAGACTTCTTTAAGTATGTACAAATGCATTTACAATTAGCTAATGTAATTGCCGTTGATTTGTTGTTGTTGTTGTTGTTGTTGTTGTTTCACTCTAGGAGTCTGCCCAGTCCCTTATCACATTGAAGATTATCCTCAGTTATGTGTGAACGAATGTGTGCATACATGTGTGGATTAACTTCTGTTCTCTCTGCAGTTGATGGGCCTTAAATAGAGGTCTAAAACCATTTCTAATCCAAAACTCAGGCTATTACGTATTGAACCCGACTTTGTATTTAAGTCCATTACTCTTTCTAATTCTTCCATTGTGGGACTATAATGCGGATGTAAAACCTTGTAAATTATATCAACAATCATAAACTTGGAAGAGGGCAGTATAAACAAAATATAATGTGGGTTTAAGACCTTTTAGGTATTTTCGTTCTGATCAAAATTCTTGAGCCAGTGACGCTAAGAAGACTGAGGGGGTTCACACTACATGACTCTTCTAATGCTATGGCAACTGATCAACAACATATTTACTTAATTAGAAGAATAACATGGATGTAGACTTTTGAGACGATACTGAAGTTTGTTTTAGTTCATTAAGGATATCTTTCCCTTGAACACAAATTTTATTTTTGGACTTTAGTTACACTTCAATACAACAGTGCATGGAAGCCTTAAATTTATCTTAGAGATGAAACTGATGTGGGAATGATTGGATCATTGAACTATTGGATCTTTTATATGTTAGTACTTAGTTTACAGAAATTCACTAAGCTTATTCTCTTTATTGCCAGGTTGACGAACATCGCCTTGTGCCAGTCCCTTACGAAAATGTTCAGGTAAAGTCGACCCTATTTTCTCCAAAGTTGAGTTGAGTGTGAGTAACATATTAAAGTTTCCCCTTTTTCATCTTTCCACAGCTCGACATAAATATCACTCCCCATCTCTCCTCTGAATATATAAATTATCTTGAGAATCCCATTGAATTAATTAATGAAGCTGAAAAAGCTGCAGAAAAAGACATGTGGAGTTTAATGCAATTTACTGAGCATTTACGCAGGCATTATGGGAAAGAACCTCGCTCCATGGAGGTAACTGAAGTTTTACAGTACAGTTAGTCTGGAAGATGTTTTAATTAACAATCTTTGCTTATTGCATGCAGATACTTCTTAAAAAGCTCTATGCAAGACGAATGGCAGCAGACCTTGGCATCAATAAGATATACACATATGGCAAGATGGTTATCATGAGAACAAACATGAGTAAGAAGGTATTTAAGATTATGACAGAGTCAATGACATCTGACATACACCGCAATTGTCTGGTTTTCACTGGAAAGGAGATCAAGGTTTGTAAAAAGCTCCCTTCATTTCTGTGTTCTCTGTTCAACAGCTACTATATGATGGTTCAAAACTTCAAATATTTCGTATGTGATATGAAACCTTTCGCTCTCAAAAAGTTGTCATTTTTTAGAATCTCTGCAGTGAGATATGGAAATGGGATCCTTTATAGAAGGACATACAATATGAACGTGGATGCAAGAATTCCTATAAATGTGCAAGAACATGATATAGGCATGACAAAACGCGCACACAGCTGGTATTTATGTATGCAGATACATTATGTGTATTGCATGTATGCGCATGCAGTCATATGCTTATGCATATAGATAGACGCACACACATACCTATACAAAATGTACATGTGTCTTTAGAAGAGCCTGTATCTGTGTGTTCTTACATGCATGCATGTATATTTCTCGAAATGTGTGTTTCCATGTGCTTATGCATGCCAAGTCTGTATTTTCTAAAAAGAACATTAGAAATTTTAAATCTGTGATAAAACAGTTGAACTCTTTATCTACAAATGAATAATTCATCAAATGAACATCAAATATTTGAATGCCAGAGAACTGCTTAGCACAGGGATTCAGTATTCCAACAGGCTTGTGAAAAAAATATCCTGTGAGTTTTCACAGGGATTCAGTATGCAAGCAGGCTTGTGAAATGTATATTTTAGGATCAATGCATATCAAACAAGTTTCAACTCTACATACTTCAGAAGAAATAGAGCAGTGGTAAAAGGTAAGATGGCATAGAATTCATCCAGTGGTCAATAGGAGCAGCAGCAGCAGAAACAATAATGACACAAGAAAGATGTTATGTTATATCTATAGGATATATATGGATAAGCTTAAATTTGCATGAGTTCCAGGCAGTAATACATCCTGAAACAATTGAATATAATGAGTGTTTCCTCAGTTATGATCTTTGTACTTGCAAGTGCATCTTTCGAGGCGCATTGAAGCTCTAGATGAGCACTCAACCAAAGATTTTTATGTTGGTAGCTATATTTTGTTTATAGTATTTTCAACCAACAGAGACTTCTTTATACCATCTCTCCATGTCAATGTGGATTCTGGTTGGAAATGAGTGTGTAGTTTCAAATTTTCCTTTTTTTTTGGCCGTTTTAGGGTTTGAAGTTCCTCTATTTCTGTTGTCTCCTTGTTATTACCATGAATTAATTTTGGGGTTGCCATATTGACCAGCTTCTACTTTTTATTTTCTTCGATGGTACAATTTTCTTTGCATCATTTTAAATTGTTGGCCTGTTCTTGGTAATTGATATCACTTCTATAATCTCATCTGGAAGTTCCCATTCTTCAGAAGTTTATCTACTTGGTTTCATTAAAAGTTATAACATTTGTATTTGAAAAAGAGAGTACCACTTAACTTTCTTTTACCAAATTCACAGGCCGAGCTTCTGCTAGAGCTACCAGGGGAGCAACTTCTTAACTGGATTTTCCAATGCTTAGCAGACCTCTATGCTTCATTGCCTGCTCTTGTGAAATATTAGTACCTTGTTAAACAATTATACAAATTTATTATTTTTCACCTCTGATCACCATTGGTTCGTGGTGGAAAAGGAAGAGAGTCAGCATCTTGATTGGTGCTCTGACTGAAGAACTTCAAGGTGTATATACCTTTTCTCCAGCACAAGCTTGTGATCATAATTGAGGGAAAAGGTCAGTAATGTAAGTCGTTTTATGTCTTGTTCTACTCTATTACTTAGACGTTACTTAATTTTCTGATCAAAATCATGCAGGAAATCAGTTGAAGAAAATGCTGTTGTTCTTTCAAATTGGAGAAGTATATTGTATCATATGGCTACTAACATCACAGATCGTTGGTATATTGGTATTTTACCACATCCTAATGAGACAGACGGCGATTCTTTCAACTTGTGCACTTTGTATGGGTGTTTCGTCATGACAGGAGGCTTCTGCTGCGACTCAAGTACGACATGAGAGCGAAAAAAAAAACCATTCAAAATGTGTTCCTAAACCAGCTATACAGGCAAGAATGATTCCATGGATGGTGGAACTTATTTCGAAGTAAGTACACATAACACGGTTCAGCGTATTAGTAAAATACCCGACTGGTTTATGGATGTGTTTAAATTATCGGAGAAAATATGTTGAAAATGTATCTGTAATATCTACATGCTTCACCGCAGGCATTCTCAGATGACTTTGTATGAGGTAATACATTGGATTAAATTAATTATCATATGAGGTAATACATTGGATTAAATTAATGATCTGCAATAAACTGTCCCTAATGGAGGGTACCAAATTCCAAATTTCTCAAGCATTGGGTATCAAGTTGGTATAAATGAATTTTGGAATGCCAAAGTTCGAAATGGAAGAAGCTTTGGGGGTAGGAGAATGCCGCAATTAAGGAAGAGTTATTGCGTAGTTCTTAAAATACTTATAAATCTACAAAACAATATCTATTTTATTTTATTTATTTATTTATTATTTTTTTGTGAGTGATCTTGAACAGAACGTTACTACATGAGGACAGACCCAGTCTCAGGCCAAAACTGCAATCACCATCCTTCTCCCGTCATCCCCTCCCTCTTCCCCCCCAAAGGAGGAAGCAATTTGAAAAGAAAATGAATCTGATCTTGTATCACATCATCGTCTTCCTCACCCTCTTCCCCTACGGCATCTAGCACGCGCTCAGCCGCTGCTTCCACCCTCTCCTTCTCAAAAGAAGCAGCTAGCACAAGCAGCCCTCCCGCCTCGCTCACCACCCGCCTATCCAGCCCCTCCCCATCTGCCAGCCCGACCGCCCCGCACTCCGCCTTCGCGACATCCCATCCCCCTCTACCAGGCCCGGCCATCCTCCATGCCTCCTCTGCGCCTCGCTCCATTGGCCCTGTCGCACTCCTCTCCCTCCCGCACCCCCTCACTCCCTCCACACCTGCCCTCTCCCTCCTCCTGCCTCGCCATCCGCTGCATCCGGTTCTCCCCCATCCCCTCCGAGCCGTCTCCTCCTGCCTCATCTCCCTGTCGCTTGCCTCCTGGCCTGTCCCTTTCGCCCTCCTGGCCTGTCGCCGCGATGACAGCTCCGGTCGAAGACGGGCATATCGGTCTCTGCGCATCTCCGCTGGCTTCCTCCGCCCTCTCGTTCGCAGGACGTCCATCTGAGCCCTCCCGCTCGCGGGCGTGTCCCGCCTGCGTGGGCGCTCTTGCGTGGCCAGCTCGAGTGGTCTCTCGGCTCCACGGTCTGTGGTCGCTCCATTCCAGACTCGGCCCTGTCGCTCTACGTGGATAGGCCTATCAATACCCCGTCGGGGTGGCCACCACGCTCCTTGAGCCCTATTAGGCGGAGGGCGGCCCGAGGTGCGACGTCGAGGAGAGGCAGGGTGCGGGCGATGTGTGGCTCGACCTGATGCTGCGGGGTCGCAGGCGTGGCGGTCGCGGCTGCGGTGGCAGGTCGGGGTGCTACGTGGTGGCGGAGAGGGCGGGTTGGAGGAGGGGGGTGTCGAGGCTGTGGCTACGGCGGAGGGAGGGAGATTGGAGGGGCGTGCGGCATTCGGGGAAGGGCGCCGCGGCAGGCTGAGGCCGTGGGCGGAAGATGAAGGAGGGCGGGGATCTTTTTCGCTTGTGGTCGAGTATTTTTTTTTTTTTCTTGTGTGCTTCCGTACATTGCTAACATGAGCTTTGAATAGTTGCATGAAGGATGATGCATAACCCTCCAAATTCCAATAAGTTCATATTATTAACGCACGTCTCTTTTAAGGCGTGGTTCACATCTAGCGTGCCTCGAAGGATTTAAGGGGACTTATTTTTTATAACACTGTCTTTTGGTAAAGCCTAGTTCAAATTAGACGATCTTTTAGCGGACCAATATTATGAAAAACCCCCTTATTAGCGAATAGAAATTACTATACACGTATAGGAACAATCAGGCCAATAATGCCTAAGGGTGTGTGACATCCCACTAATTGACAGAGACGTTTCAAATGAAGTTTTAGTCCCACGTCGGGTGGGAGAGTGGGAAATTGAGGTGTTTATATAGTGAAAGCTAAAGACTCAAGTGTAAGAGCAGTTGCCAGTCGGAAGTGTGGAGCTAAGTACTATGCGGGGCTAAGTGCTACACCATGTGTTAACGGGCCTGCGGGCCCAAGGCGTGACAAATGGTATAAGAGCAGTTGTCAGCCGGAAGTGTGGAGCTAAGTGCTATGCGGGGTTAAGTGCTACACCGTGTGGATGCGGTAGGAGCCACATCTAGAGCCCATAGGAGCCACCTCTAGAGTCCACATCGCCTGGCGACGATACTGGGATGTGCTAATTGTCATGTCGCGACGAGGATGCTGCCTTTGTAAGGTGGGGTAAATGTGACATCTCACTAATTGACAGCGATGTTTCGAATGAAGTTTAGTCCCACATCTGGTGGGAGAGTGAAAAATTAAGGTGTTTATATAGTGAAAGCTAAAGACTCAAGTGTAACATCGGCTAGTCGATTTTGACAGTGGTTTGAGCCAAACAGTATGTTACACTCGGTGGGTCCCACGGCTTGCACGCACCAACGGGCCTGCGGGCCGGGTGAGAAACTTAAAATGAAGTTTACAAGCAACATCCCCAAGCAGTAGTAGAAACGAGAATGTGTTGAGATGCGTGAAAGTTATAGGTGGTACTTATTGAGCATGAAATAAGAGAGAAGGCTAATGAAGGTGGCTCACGCATATGCAATGGCGGCCAAATAAAATCTCTGTGGTAGAGTATCCAGTTGTATACTCAGTGGAATAAAGAAAAAAAAAATCTAGAGGTAGGCCTAGATTAACATGGATTAAGGAGATAGTACGGTGATTGTTAATTTACAGGAGGAGGTGCCATTTAACAAAGCTTTATTAGAAAAATGGCCCTATGTAATGGACCCCAGATGCTTCAAATAAGTACGTACTTTGGTGCAAGATGCTTTCTCCTCATCTGGAATGGAGATGGCTATATATATCGTCTTCAATCTGAACCTAATTCATGGTGCTCTTCTAATCAGTTCGGGCCGCATTTGATGATCTTAACATCGTACTCAAACCTTACCTAGCACTGTGAAGCCGCCGTGCGTGGATGCCCGTGTTCTATGCGAAACGCCATAGGGGATATAGTGAAGAAAGAGACGGAACAAAACCATTATAACTGACTGGAATGTATGCATCCTATTGTAGATATTCATACATTGAGTTTTTTTTTTCCATAAAGTTAGAAGATACCCGTAGTACATGTGACATATTGACATTAACTATGAAGAATATCCGGAAAAACATTTTATGCCAACATTTGAAATACTAAGAAATCTTTCTAACTCATTGAGGAATGGCTCTAAATATAATATTAAACTAGCGAAAGGAGTTAGGAGTTGATTCTGTAAATAAAATACGTAACGAGGAAGGAAATGGCGAGGTAAATGATGAGTGAAGGAGAATAGATGGTATGATAGAGATGCTGCAGGTTTAAATTTTTGCCAATGAATGGAGCCATTTCTACTAGAGATTTAGTGTCCCCCCACCCCCTTCCCCTTTTTTTTTGCTGCTGTAATGTTAAATGGCATAAATGCTATTTTATACTGTGGATAGGGTTTGATGACTATTTTGTCCTCTTTGGATGAACATTGAGCCATCATGCCCTTAAATCAATATTTTGGCTAAGAGTAGTCTTTGAAATGTTCTATGAAGGTTAAATGATGATAGTGATACTAAATCTTACATTTGTCAAAATAAGCAATATAAGTACTTTATTCATATGAGGACAGTCTCCATGAAACATGTTCGTGTACGAAGAACAGCTCGTATATTAGCATTCTAAAGCCAGATCAATTCCAACTTTTTTCAGCTCTGGTATTAAAATTGTTGACATAATTATGCTTCTACACCTTTTTTTTTAATGTGATACCAATGAATGTTTTGATTGTTTTGTTAATCATTGTAACAACCATATTGAGTGCCTGTGAAATAGTATAACTTTTGACGGAAAAAATGATATTAGCAGTAAAGGAAGCATAACCTAAGTTGCCTTGTAAAGGCATTCACTTGTGTAAATGACAGAAATCTTTTAAAGTTTCAGAATGTTTATGCAAACAGTTTCATACTTCAAATTGTGAATTACTCAATAGAGCAGGAAACAAAAACATCCTGCTCACAATTTGATTGGCACTGCAATGAGATACAACCATATTATTCATGAAGATTTTCAAAAAGTCCCGAAAACACTTGAGAGACCTTAATGAGATGGTCGCTCCTATTTCATTTTGGGAAATACAATGTATAAGAGCGAAGAAAGAGAGAGAACAGAACCAATGTACTTGATTCGGGTAATCTCAAGCAGCATTCTCTTCAAGATCCTGTTGTTTCATTAAACATAGTTAGCCATTAGTTGGATCTCATTTCAATCTACCACCATATACTCTCAACACAATCACAACTAGTAAATTCCGTTGTAATGTGTAGCCAACAACTTATGCGGACTTGGACGTAAAGTCGCAGTTATAATCTTTTTGAGCTGCAAATAAAATTTTTGTTGCAATTCAATTACAGGCAACACCCAATAGATTAAAAAAAATCTGATAGTAAGAAACAAACCCCTGCAACTAAAAAGTAAAGACTACAGTTCTTAATTGAAATTTTTTTAATCGGACAAGCAAGCAACACAACTGCATGCGACAGCGGTTGCAGCAACTGCAGTGTCAGGTGTACTGACACTTGCATTGCAACTAAAGTTTCAAATCATTTTGGGTGTCTAGAGTTTTGTTTTGTTTCATATGTGAATGCTGCTGGAAGATAAAGGTAGAGCAAAAATGGTAAATTCTTGAATACTTGCGCGTAAGTCATGTTTACATTTTATCATTAGATAAAACTCTTTTTTGCCTTAAAGATTTAATTGTAGGAAGCGCCTAAAAAAGGTTGTTTATGTCGCAGATCGCATCATATCAGATAACAATTTGTCGCGGATATATGTATGATATATTGACAAGATGAGGACTAGGACTTGCAGTTTGCTTTACCATGAAGGGGATGAAAAAAAGCCAAGGTGTGCAGGAAAAAAGAGGGCGTCTTTGTTTTGGATTTTCGACAGGCAGTATTGAAAAAGAGAAATTTTAGTCTTCAATTGTGTAGAAAAACTCCAGATATCAAGATTGAAATATTTTCCTTTGTTGCTTTTTGAGCATCTTTCTTTACTTTGAGCCATACACTTGTCCTGAATTTTAGCACAATGGCTAATTCAATTTTGTAATGCAAATGCTCATAGGCATTGTCGAGAATTAGTAATGCAAAGTTCACTGTTATATCCCATGCTACCATGCTGTTTGCAAATGCTTCATCGCTCATCAGTAATGTTTGTCGACTTATAGCAATCGTTGTATGACATTGTTTTTGAACTTATGATAATGCTGCGACTTTGTCCAGATACCAAAGTCCATTTTTCTCTTAAGAGGCTGCACAAGTTCATACCATCATTCTATTTAGGACGCTTGGCAGTAAATATTTGTGTCTGGACAACAAATATTTGTCGATAAACGAGCCACATCAAGACCAATTCTCTTGTACTCTGTCAGGGATGAATTCCGTATTTTCAGAGTTTAGAAGTTGAACAAGCTCGACTCCACTTGACCTGTACTTGAAATTTGTATTGAGATTTGTTTTCCCTTAAATCAAGTGGTTTGGAAAAATGCAGGACTGCAGTCTTTGTCTGAAAATTATATAATTGGAATCTAATCTCCTAGTTTCTATTATATATTCCTTTCAGTTCCAATGATCATGTATGCAACCTTTGTTTATTTTAATTTGAGAATTGATTAAACTTTTAAACAATTTCAGCAAAGACTACTACAGGTTAGCAGGCGAGAGCCTGTGAAATTGACACGGGTTCTCCTAATTTAACAATAGGGCTATTTGTATACATTTAAATGTTTACTTTAAACATTTAAAGCATTTGATACCATTGCTTTGAAGTTGAGATGATGACCAAGTCTTAAATACTTATATAAGTTTTTAATTGTGCTCCATTTATTTGATCATGTAAACATTTGTCTTGGCTCATACGGCCTGTACCTTTTGGTTAATTTCAATCAAGTAGGAAAATGATTGAGATTGACAAGCTTTTCTATTGTAGAAAGAGATGATCTTTTACTGCAAAAAAACAACTATATATTTTTTTAAAAATACATTGATCAAAGTTGGTTGGCCTAAACAATTAATTATTTAGAAATAATTTCCATTCTTGTCTCTTCATCCGGATCTATCACATTGTCACTCTTCAATTGTCTTCAATAACTTGTCTTCGTCTTTCTTGTTTCTATTAGTGGATTTTCTTATCTTCTCTCTTTTACCAATCTATACAATATGCTGGATTAAACAGTAACAATGATTCAGTCCACATTCTACATAACCAATGTCTGCATTTTGAAGTGTCTTAGTAGTGGTTTAGTTCTATCAAAGTCGATAAAATAGCAAATAATGCAGTACTTGAACATGTTACAAATACAAAATAGAAAACAGCATGTACTGGGGAATCATGAAATAGCTTTCAATAGGTATTTTCAGGAAGTATGTTTGCATGTAATAATCATAGTACTGCTACAAAACTATCTTACTAGTGGTTTCCTTCAACCAAAGTCAGTAAATATCACCAAGGGCATGCGAACCGGATGACATTATGTCTAGACGATGCAGTGTTTTAACACGTTACGTATACAAAATAGAGAATGACTGAAAGAGGTTTCAGGCAGTATTTTCCTCGGTTTCACCACCAACGGTCACTTTAGAAAGCCAGAAGAAGCAAACAAGAAGCTCTACATCCTTCATCGTCAACATTTCCATTAAACTATGGTGCAGTTTGGACTATGCTCAGGCAATCAAATTCTAAACCTGTAACTTCTTTTTCTTCTTGGATGTTTCCTGATGCCTTTAAGTTTGTAATCTATGTATATATATCAGTTCAGGTTTCCCCTCCCTCAGACATGAAGAGAGAATTTACATTATCGAATATGTCCAATACATCAGAAGAAGAATCACATAATACTTCTCATCATCAGCCACTTATGGGGAATTGTGTCGCAGTTCCAAGCAAAGGGGACGCTACAGCTGCTCCTGCAGTGAAGAAGAGAAGAAGCCTACCAGGGAATCCAGGTACATTATATTTCTCCAGTTTCACCCAAATATGGACAAATTTTGTTTCGTATCAAACATATCTCTATGTGCATAGAAGGGTCCTGAAGTTTTCTCTAAAATTGCTTTGTAAGGCATTTGATTGTACCTGAAGGTTTTTGCAATATGTTCCTTAGTTCCTTTCGAGGAAAAATATAGTTTAAAAAAGATTAGCCTTTATTACAAGAAGTAAATAGAAGTTCTTCAAAAAAAGAAAAAAGAAAAAAGAAAAAAAATCAATTAAGTTGAAGTATGAAAAAAATTGAATGAGTAGTTAGCTTACCTCCTATTAGGATATATGCTGTAGTTGCCTGGTAGCTGACAACCAGAAGCATATTCAGCTGTCTCTTCTTAGTTTTTTATTAGAAGCAGACATTTTATGTTTGTACATAACCCAATAGCTTGGAGCTACTTAGAGTTTCAACTGAGCATTGATAATACTGAATTTCTCTATGTTCAGCCTTAGAATCCTTCTGCTTCGATCATTTTGTGCAAACCACTTTCATTATGGTTTTTGATCGATACTGAATATCTCCATATTCAGATGTTTCTTCTATAAATCTCAGTCTATGCACATTTTACTCAACCGAAGTCTGCATGTTGATTGGTATGGATGAAGATCAGATATAGTTAGATTTGTGAGGTATCAAAATTACATAAAGTTGAAACTAAATATTTGGTCTACATCCAGGAAATTACAGTTTTAATCCAAACCTGTAAAATTTCTTGAAACTAAAAACAATCATCTAGTAATATATCATGTAGCAATGTTGTTTTCTTGGTTTCGTAACTCGATTAAGAAACACACATTTTCGATGTTGACTTTGAGATTTAATTTTCTTAGACCCAGATGCAGAGGTTGTAGCCCTCTCACCAAGAACCCTCTTAGCCACAAACCGTTACATTTGTGAAGTATGTCACAAAGGATTCCAGAGAGACCAAAATCTCCAACTCCATAGAAGAGGCCACAACCTTCCGTGGAAATTAAAGCAGAGAACAACTACAGAGGTGAAGAAAAGGGTTTATGTTTGCCCTGAAGTTACCTGTACTCACCATGATCCTAGCCGAGCTCTAGGAGATCTGACAGGCATTAAGAAACACTACTCGAGGAAGCACGGGGAGAAGAAGTGGAAGTGCGATAAGTGCTCGAAGAGGTACGCGGTTCAATCGGATTGGAAAGCTCATGCGAAGATATGTGGGACTAAAGAGTATCGTTGCGATTGTGGAACTATCTTCTCTAGGTATTGTTTCCTTTTCGAAGTCACATCAAAATACTGGGAGTTTGAAGAGAGTATTTTCTCCCCGTCCATTTTATTCAAGATTATGCTTTATTTCCACCAAGGGTGGTTAAATTTATGAAATCAAATAATCCTATTCAAATTCAAATCTGAAACATTGATGTTAACTACTAGTTGCACTAAATATGGGCTGTACATAACTAACATATGACTGTTTTCACATAATGTGAGAAATGCGCAATAATATATAACAAAAGGAGAGTAAATAAAACAACATTGTATAGCCTTCTTTGAAATAAAATTAAACATTTCAGTTAATGAGGTATTTCTTTATTCAAGTAATAATAATAAGGTATTTCTTACATATAACAAGAAAAGTTAATAAATTTGGTTTTAATCCATATGTTGCAATTATGCTTTCAAAATTTATAGTTTATATAAGCTCTTTCGAGATTAAACAGATATCACATGGAAAAGGAACCTATTTAGGAACTAAAATTAATACAAATTTACTGAAAACACTGTCATGTAAATTGTCAAAGATTTCAAACATACTTAACTGAAACAACTAAGTCCTCAGAAATCTGGCCAGGAACCTGCATGAATTTCCAGTTAAAAAAAGGTTCTCACAATATTAATTTTTTCCCCAAAATTATTATGTTACTTCAGGAAAGATAGCTTCATAACCCACAGAGCATTCTGCGACGCGCTAGCCGAAGAGAACTATAGAGCCAACCATGGTCTCGCTGCAATGGTTGGGACTCTTCAAAGCCAAAATCAAGAAATGTTCTCCAACTCAATGCCAAGCCTCAACTCCTCCAACATCGACACAGTGATGAACTCCTCAACCCCTGAACCTCAACCGAACAACCCCCTAAAATCTCTCTCTCTAAATCCATTCATCCCCAACACTTCAGGCATTATGTTCAATCCAAGCTCTTCGAACCTTCAGTTGCCGACGAACAACTCATCCTACATGTCAGCCACAGCTTTGCTTCAAAAGGCGGCAGAAATGGGAGCGAAAGTTAGTGATGAGTCAATCTCTCCTATACTCCTCAGAGGCTTCACTGGATACTCATCAAGACCGAGGCCATCAGAAGTACCAGAATGCAGGCAAAGTACATTTGCCCCTATTGATCAAAGGAGTGGAGGGAGCCAAGGAGGCTCTATGGTTGTTAATAATTGCGAAGAGATTGTGGAGGGGAGAGATGTGAGGATGACTCAGGATTTCCTGGGGTTGGGCGAGTCGAGCTATGGTGCGAACGGAGTAGGGTTGAGCTATGGCGATGGGCAACAGGAGAGCCAGCAGGTCATGTACTCGTACCAGCATATGGCTCATGGGCCGAATGCAATGGAGAAACAAATGTGGGACTTTTAGTTACGTAAAATTCGAGACGTTAGGATTTTGCTAGGATTCTGACTCCAATTCTAAGTGCAAGTGTTCATAAGATCAAATTGAACAAGAGGAGCGGTTTTGTTTCGATGTTGGTGATGATTTCTTGATGGGTTGCTAACAAGTGCTGATTTTATGAGAAAGCCTCGATCGAGAATCTTGGGTTTTGACAGGGAGAGGATCTTTGGTGATCATGAGCTGAGTCAATGAAGGGTAGCTGCATCTTTTTTCTTTCTCCTTTTCCCCTGTTTGTTTTCTTTTAAAAGGCCTTGTGAACTGCACTGTATTCTTCAGTTTTATCAGAGTATTTGAATTATAGCTTGAGGTTCACTGCAGCAAACAAGAACATGGTAAACTTCCTTCCATTGTTCTTCCAGAAAGATGAACTTATCTAACTCGAGGAAAATAATCAACTTTGACACAAGAACTGATACCCAGGCTTGAAACGTGAAATCGAGACAACCATCAAAGGCACATCTCATCAATCCTGATACAAACTCCATAGATGACACTTGTATCTTACTTCGTCAAATGTTTATGTTCTTCTAAAGTTCGTCGCTAACATTTCACTAATATTAGAAAGGAGAAGATGAGAAACATCGAATCCAGTTATTGCCTCTCTAATTCTTTCTTTTCAATTCCATTTAATTCCGTCTTTCTTCTTCTTTTGTTGAGCACAAGCAAGTATTCTTCACGCTCGAGTGGCTCTAACCTCAGAGATGAACAATAGTGTATTGAATTTGACAACTCCCGATGTAGAGCAAGATCGTTTCTGATCCAACTCCTCATAATAACGCTAACTAGTCGAGCTCTCTATGCGATCTTGAAGCCCTTCGGTCAGCCTATGGTACTCCTCGCTGGGATCCTAGTATGTCGATATAAACAAGTAACAGTTTTACTGTTCTTCAATTTTACATCTTGATCGTGTGCTTATTCTAAAATATTACAAATGCACGGAGGGATTTTACTAAGACCGTCTTTGTGATTACCTTAGACTGCTGTCTTTCCCTTTCGCGATTACTTGACGAACAAAAGAACAATGCATTCTACATCTATCTCGCTCTGGCTCTTTCGATCGCAACATTTCCTGTGCTCGCTTGAGTCCTTAGATATCTCAAGGTTCTAAACACAGAGGTCGGTCGACTTTCCATATTGTCCTATGTCATCAACGATGAATTCTCTTGAGTGTTGCCTAGCCTAGTTTTTGTTGTCTGCATTGTCTTGGTGAAGCCTATACTAAAATGGCTCGTGGACAGAATGCCCAAAGGCGAGCCCATGAGTGATATGAATCTCGGAATGGCCATCATGGGTGTTACGGTGTATGCATACATCACTGACTTCATTGGCATACATGGTGTCTTTGGGGCGTTCATTTATGGCTTGATCTTTCCGCATGGATCCCATGGTACTGCACTGGTTGAGAGATTGGAGACTTTTGTTACAGGCTTACTATTGCCAATATACTTTAGTGCTAGCAGGTTCAAGACTGGCATATCAAGAATCGAGCGCTCTGATATTATCGCCATTCTCAACTTCATCTTCATCCTCTCGATCATTACAAGTGGTCACCACTAAATTGATATCTTTGTACTTCAGCGTGCCATTGTCCAAAGTACTCTCCCTTGGTTTCCTAATGAACCCCTGGCCTTGCCGAAATAAGCCTTCTCAATGTCGCTAGCGATAAAAGTGTGTTTATGTGTGTATATATATATATATATGCTAAAGTTGATTCAGTCATAAGTGCTAGGCAACTCATTTTCTTTCTAATGACCAATGACCGATTTGATGTGTCATAGATCATTGCCCAAGAGACGTTTGACCTAATGACAGCACTGATGATGCCGTTGGTGTCAGTGCGTATAAGCCATTGGAGCATATCGTCGAATACAAAGAGTGATCTCTTATGAGCGTGAAGCCAAATGATGAGCTCCGAATGCTCGCTTGTGCACGCTCCAACAATAATGCTGCTACCTTGATCAGCCTCCTCAACATGTCCAACCCTATGAAGAGATCTCCGATACCCGACGCCTTTCTTCACCACATTGAGCTCACAGGCAGAGTCTGCCATGCTCATTGCGCGCGACACTGACTCCATGTCCTCGAAAGCTGGTGGATTTAATAGCAAACAAAGTGAGGTTCAAGCTAAGGACATTATCTCTCTCTGCCTTCGAGACCTACGAACAACATGCAGGCGGCATCTCAATTAAGCCCACACGGCCATCTCTCCCTCACTACAATGCACGACGACATCTGCACCCTTGAAGAAGAAAAGCATTCGTCGATCATTATCCCACCTTTCCACAAGCTCCAGTCAGTTGATGATGCGGGCAATCTTTCCATCCGTAATGTCAACCAAAGAGTCCTAGATTCCGCACCCTGTTCCGTTGTTATCCTCGTTGATCGCAGCCTTACTGCTGAGAATGTCGCCGGAAAATCCAGTCTCTGCACCAAGCGACGTATTGTCCTCCTCTTTTTTGGCAGCCCTGACAACCAAGAGGCACTCTATTATGATTGGAGGATGGCAGAGTTCCCTGCTGTCACCCTCACACTGGTGAGGTTCGTCCCTGGCAAACAAGTTGCTGCAGCGGCACCGAGTATGTTGTCACCAATGTCATTCTCAGTTACCAATGAACAGTTACAGCATTCTAGCGTCATCGACATAGGAAAATTTGAGGCTGACACAAGTCAAATCCCTGATGAGGAGTACGTGAATGAGATCCGGACAAGGAACCTAGGCAACGAGTCAATCGAGTATGTGGAGGGAATGGTGAACAATAGCGAAGAGATGACGGCGATGATCAGGGCGATGGATAATACGTTTGATCTATGCATCGTGTGGAGGTCGCAGGGAGTGTCACCGATGACTGCAGGGCTGACAGAGTGGATGGAGTGTCCGGGGCTAGGGTCCGTAGGGGACCCGCTTGCGTTGACAGGTATCAGGGAAGGGATGTCAGTGTTAGTGGTGCAACAGTACAGTGCACATGAAGTTGAATCCAAGTTATATTAAGCTCTTGATAGAATGCAAGCATGATAGTTCGTTACTATATCAATCTGCATTCAATTTTATCATCTTATACTTTTCCATTCATAATCGATATTATTATGTATTATCTTTGTTTGTTTTGTTAGTAGCTAACGTTAATGTCTACGAGTTGTCGTAACATATTGCAAGAGAATAACCTAAGTCAAAAATGCCAAACTCTATCGCTGAACCAATTCTACTGAACTTAAATTGCTCGTTAGTATTAAGAGTCTATATCAAAGCGTATTATAAATGAATATAATATGGACTCCGACTGAAGACACATTACAAATTTTCTCATGCATGATGCCCAGAAAATAATGGAACAAACACATTCCTTTTAAGAGTGGAAGAAAGGCCGTAAGTATCGATGAAAATAAATATACTGCCATAGCACCCAGGTAAATAGACATCTTCTTGTAAAATGCAACACTCAGACTATACTATTTGATAAGTTAATAAACCACGAGTAAAGATGTTATTTGAAAATTTCAATAGATACAAGGATTACACACTTGTAATCGAAATAAATTAACTTAAGATCGAATGCAAAAATTTTAATGTGAATAATATATGA